ATCCTGGAGCATTGCCTGAGGTTGTTGTGACCCAAGAGCTGTGGCCCTTGGCCTTGTTGAACCTCATCCCATTGGCCTCAGCCCATGGATCCAGCCTGGGCAGACCCCTCCGTAGAGCCTTTCTACCCTCCAGCAGATCAACATCTCACCCAACTTGGTGTCATCTGCAAAATTACTGAGGGTGCTGTGATCTCCTCATCCAGACCATTGATAAAGAGACTGAACTGGAGTGGCCCCAGCACCGAATTCTGGGGAACCCCACTTGTGCATGGCTGACAAGAGGATTGAGCTCCATTCACCACCACTCTTTGGGCCCAGTTGTCCAGCCAGTGTTTCACCCAGAAGGTGGGTGCCCAGATGGGGCAGACATCTTGCAAATTAATAGGCAGCAGATCTTCTTACAAGATGACAGCAGCCTCGGGAGGTGGTGGCCTGATCTACATCCATTAAAGCCTTCATTAAAGCCAAGAGTTGCTCTCCGCATCTATCAGTAGATTCCACACTGCTCTCACACGGGGCTTCATCCACTCTGGTGATTTTATTTTAATTGCATTTTTCCCTTGGCTGAGCATTGCTAAAGGCGGTTGCAGGTGAGGGTGACCTCAACATCTTCCTCCACCTCAGCCAGGGGACATGGGGTTGATGTGAGCTCCAAGCTATGGCCTGCAGCCATCTCTGGAGATGCTCACCAACACTGCTGTAGGCATTGATCACCTTCAACTATGATGCCAGACCAAAGCCAAGAGGAAGGATGGGTAGACAAGGCCTGGTTCAACCACTTCAAAGTTTCCACCTCCTTTGAAGGACTTTAAAGAGAGGTTACATGTGATCAGAACCAGCACAGGCTGTTAAGTGTATTCTGCTGCCAGCAGTTTGACTGGCACTGAGCCAGCCCAGTTCCCTCATCTGCACGTATGAAATAATGAATGGTGCAGAAAAGGGAGAGCAGGAGCTTCGCACTGCAGTCCTGCAGAGAAGAGGCATTTCTAGCTTAACATGGAAAAATGTGGCTCTACCAAAACTAGAAAATATTCAGATTTTTCACTGGAAAAATGAAGAAGTTTTACAGAATGTTTGGCCTGAAACATTTCATTCATTCTAAAATTAAAAGTTAACTTTCTCAGTATCTTTAATTCTTTTCCATCTTATTTTTTTTTTTTCCTTATTCTACTCAGGACAACATGAAAGGACATGAATCCCCTTATGAAAAAAAAAACCAAAGAAACCTTAAACTGCTTCACAAGGAATATTTCAGAACATCACATTTCTCTTTAATACTCCTCTAAACAGCAATGAAAAAATTATACATTTGGGCCAAACAAGTTAGCAAATTTGTCTGGGTTTTTCAAATTATTTTGCTTTTCTGGAATAGAGTGTCATTTGCTCCCAAATATTCTCCAGCTCAGTTTTCCCT